AGGAAATGCTGCCCTTACGGACAGCATCATTTAATCTTCCCAATTTCAATGCCTATGCTTTGTGACATTTAAAAGCAGACTTTACAGTTTGTGTGGTACTTTTTATTATGTTCAAAGTGCAAAGCAATACGACATGCAAAAATAAGTGTGGTGCAGCTTATGTACAAATTATCAAAATTTCCGGCCCCTTCCTGACAATGTAATTCAAATTTAATGACAGAGTTCAGTGAATCTATATATAGTATAGAAACTTACAGTTAGGAAAACTGTTGCTGAGATGGTCTCCATTTCTTACAAATAAAACTTCACTAAAGTGACAAACCCCTGGGGCACCTGGGTAGCTCAGTCAGTTAAGCATCCGACTCTTGATTTCAGCTCAGGTCATGATTTCAGGGTCGTGGAATTGAGCCCCGCATTGGGCTCTGTGCAGAGTCCATTTGAGATTCTCTCTCCTTCTCCCTCTGCCCCTCCCCACCCCTCGAAATAATAAATCTTTTAAAAAAAAAAAATTGACAAAACCCTTCCAAATGCTGCTTAACACATTTCCTAACAACAGAGGTGGAGATACTATTAACTGCCCCATGATGAAGAATAGAAATGGAAGGCAGAGGAAGAGAAAAAGCTTAACGAGGCAGACGTTTCATGGCTCAAAAGTGAAAGACCATTGGTCCTCCTTCCTTTCCGTCTATGAAATTCCCACTGAGACTGAATTCCTCTTCCTCTCGTAGACTTCCACGGCTCCACTCCTGATGACTCCTCCTCTATCCAATTGCTATCTGTACCATCCTTTCACCACAGGCATTATCCCACCATGTTGAATGTCTCTTGGTCTATATGCACAGTACCATCTCCCCAAAGAGACAAGACACTTGGGAGCATAAACGTTTATGTAATTTTGTTTCTCCAATAGCAGTAAGGTCAGGCTACTATATACCGATGACTCCCAGTGAATATTACCTCAAAGGGAGTCAATTTAAAGGCAAATAAAAAGAGTTTAATCCAGCTGGATGTAATTTTAACCAGTACTTTCATCCGGACTCCTCAATACCCTCCATCCATCGGGGACATCTGAATATTCATGATGCACAGATTTTTTTAACACCGTCAGCAGCTGGTATGAGAAAAGGAAAGAGCAGGCAGATGCACACAATATATAATACACTGTATGTGCAGAATTGTATCATTTTACCACAGTACATATTCTTTTTCAAACAGGAATGCTTGAATTCCTGTATGTTAAATGAGTACATGTATGTATGTAACCCCACCACATATTCTTCAAGATTTAGAGAGGGTCTTTTTTTTTTTTTAAGATTTTATTTATTTGTCAGAGAGAGAGAGAGGGGGCACAAGCAGGGGGAGTGGCAGGCTCCCCGCTGAGCCAGGAGCCCCATGTGGGGCTCGATCCCAGGACCCTGGGATCATGACCTGAGCCGAAGGCAGACACTTAACCCGCTGAGCCACCCAGGAGCCCCTAGAGAGGGTCTTCTATAAATGTGCTTTGTGATACATGATTACCTCCAGATTTTTTTGCTCATTTAACCTCGTCCTCAGTCATTTCTAGTTGAGTTGCTAGACAAGTGACCTCTCAATTAGCAAGTTAAAACTATGTTTTGCAGTTTACTTCTTCACTGGGGCAAAGTAGTATAGTTATCGTACTATAGTAGAAGACACCTGAGTTCAAATCTTGGCTCTATCAAAAAAAAAGTATCCAAAATATATAAAGAACTTATACAACTCAACACCCAAAAAACAAGTAATCTAATTTAAAAATGGGCAGAAGACATGAACAAACATTTCTCCAAAAAAGACATCCAGGGACGCCTGGCTGGCTCAGTTGGAAGAGTAAGTGTTGAGTCACGCCTGATCTCGGGGATGTGAGTTTGGGCCCTACGTTGGGTGTAGACATTACTAAAAAAGTTAAATAGGGGTGCCTGGGTGGCTCATTCGTTAAGCGTCTGCCTTCGACTCAGGTCATGATCCCAGAGTCCTGGGATCGAGCCCCGCATCGGGCTCCCTGCTCAGCGAGAAGCCTGTTTCTCCCTCTCCTGCTCCCCCTGCTTGTGTTCCCTCTCTTGCTGTGTCTCTCTCTGTCAAATAAAAAACAATAAAAATAATAAAGTTAAATAAATTTAAAAAAAAAAGATATCCAGGGTGCCGGGGTGGCTCAGATCATGATCCCAGGGTCCTAGGATCGAGTCCTGAATTAGGCTCCCTGCTAAGCAGGGAGTCTGCTTCTGCCTCTGGCCTCCCCTCTGCTTGTGCTCTCTCTCACTCAAAATAAATAAATAAAATCTTTAAGAAAAAAAAAGATATCTAGATGGCCAATAGACACAAAAAGATACTCAACATCACTCATCATCAGGGAAATGCAAATCAAAACTACAATAAGCTATCACTTCACACCTGTCACGATGGCTAAAATAAACACAAGAAAGAACAAGTGTTGGTGAGGATGTCAAGAGAAAGGAACCCTTGTGCACTGTTGGTGGGAATGCAAACTGGTGCAGCCACTATAGAACTAAACACTACGAAGTTTCCTCAAAACATTAAAAATAGAACTACTCGGGCGCCTGGGTGGCTCAGTTGGTTAAGCGACTGCCTTCGGCTCAGGTCATGATCCTGGAGTC